TTAAGCAAATCAATAACTCAAAATCATGAAGACATCACTCTATGTACTGATGCAGAACTTGCTTTGATTGAAAAAAGACTCTCTAGCGAATGTGGTAGAGCTGACAGAGTGCTGCAGGGGTGACGTTTTTTGTAGGCTGATGCCAGGTTGGCATCACCCTGGTTCTCACGACACAAAAAAGTAATGAGATTTTTCCAGTCGATTTTGGATTGCAGAACATACAGTAAACATTGTAGCAAACAGAAGTTTATGATACTTAAACATTCTGTTCAGCAAGATAATTTTCACACATGAACACCACTTTAATGACTCTGAAAGGAAGGAACCAGAAGAGCTAAAATGCTAACTCAGCTACGCCGTTTCAAGACTCATTCTTACACCACTCTGTTATGCAACTGCAACGTAAATGAACAGCAACAGTGCAATAAGTACTGGCCAGATGAGGTGACCATCTGGATTTGTTAAGCAAATACATAATCATATTTTTTTTACAACACCTCTCCATTAGGCCTGATGATTAGCCTGGCTACCTGATGATGTACTTATTCAGAAACAGACAGAATAACAGTTTGTGATAAAAATCTGGAATCCCAAAAACAGAGTAAACAGTGAAGTTGTACATTACAGCTGTGGATCAGAAATATTTTTTTTCTGTTGTATGTGTTACTTTACCTTATATGAGGCAGAGTTGGCCTGTTCATCCACAACTCCCTTCTTCAGCACCTGGTTCTGTGCACGGAGCTGTGAAAACATACAAAAGAAAATGCTAAGACATAAGACATAAATGCAATACAAAACGTTCTTTGACCCTGCTTGGCTTGATCTCACTTGTAAAAGAGGTTTTGATCTCAATGTGACATCCTAGTTGAATACAGGTTATATGTTATCAATGGGCAGGAATGAAATGAAAGGCAGTTTTCAAAACAAGAATAATGTGTTATGGACACAGCATCGTGAGGTGAATTCACATTTGCCTTTGCACAGAAAATCTCTCTCAAATGCTTATGTGTGGTTGCTGCTTTTTCATCCTATTCTGCATAACACAGTCAAGTCACCAAAATGTTTAAAACCCAAAGCTCGTTACTGCATAACTTGTGGTCTTTGACACATGTATACATAATTAAGCAGAAGGGCAGCATGTGTGACAGTTACACAGTCAGCACTTTCTGAGCAGGATATGGTGCTTGGCTAACGGGGAGATCAGAGTTAAACAGGAAACAGCACACACTCCCCGTGCTGTCAGCTGACACAGAAACAAAGGGCACAAACAGCTCACGATAGAAAATGCAGACTCAAAGGCTTGACTGTGTCTTAACTGTCACTTGTTAATGAATTAATCTTTAAAGTAGCTTACAGCACTTGAACACAGCATGATCATTAGCTACTTAACATGTCAAATGCAGCAGCATGTAAATGACAACATTCAATCTAAAACATGCCATGATAACCCCAATCCTATAACATATCTGGTTTTATTCTTTATTCATCATCATATCAGTATACATTCAGTTACTTATATGTTTACTAAATGTGTCTTTTATTTTCCTTCTCAACTTGTTTTCTATGTGCAATTACCGGAAAATGGTTGTAAATTAAGATACAGTATTATGATCCCATGTGGGACTGGCCAAATGCATGACACTAGAATAACTTTAAGAAATTTAAAATTAAAATGAAGATGCACCTGACTTAATCTACCTCAAATCATGACAGGTGTGATGATCATGATGACTCAGTTTACGTGAAAACTGTCTCAAAGAGCTGTGCTGATTCAACAAAATGGTCATTTTGGAGGCTGTAGTTTGTATTGTGTTGTACTACCTGTGCTATTTTATTAAGAACACTCGTCTCAGTCTGAGGAAATTTGACTGTACCACCAACTACATCTTCCAAAATGACCATAAAGTTCGTGGTAAAATCACCTCATCTCTAAAACAATATAACCTTAATGACAGCAGGATTTATTGCGGGGCTATAATATCGGCTAGATCACATTAGTTTTAGCTAAGTGTCATAAACTCCCAGTTGAGTCTATCTCCTTGCACTGGCATGAGGTCAGCTTCAACTATGGTATCCACTATTCCTGTAACGTTATAGTACATGTGTAAATATATTTAAATGGAAACTGTCATCGATTATTGATGCGTTAGTGATACAATGTTGGTGGCTAATGCTAATAACACATTGGGAGCGTCTGTGCTCCAGCCTTGTAAGTACTGTGTATTTAGCAATGACAGCTAACTTTATTATCATTTAATGGGTGGACAAAGAAAGTGTTTTACCTTGGAGTACTCCTGTGCCAGCTTGCTGTATTTTGTTTGCAGGTCTGTAACGTTAGCCATTGTCGCTGGTAACGTTATTCCGTCGCTAACCGTTGATGCTGGAAAACGGTTTCCTAGCTAGCCCGGCTAGCTGGTGGTTGTACGGTTAGCTTGCTCGAGACCGCTCGCGCTGCTTTAAATGTTAACGGTGGACACGGTGAGCTTTAACCCAGCTAACTCAGGTTAGCTAGTTCACTGTTATTACTGAGTAATTCAGGGAGGCTTGTTCCGTTACTTGGTAAAATTAACCGCGAAAACATTGTGACAAAGGGACGGTCATGAGTCCCGGAAAAAGAAGTGGTTGGTGGTCATCTGATATGCGCTAACTTCTAAAGCCGGGACGCAACAATGTTTTAAGTTAGCGCTATTAGCAGTGACAGAGCTTGCTAGCTAGCTGGCTAGCCAACAGCTAACTAGCTATGTAGCAAAACAAATCCCTACACCGAGTCACACATGCAGGTCATGTTATGTGACAGCAGCCGTGTAGCACGCTGCGTCCGCAAATCGTATTACAGGTTGAGTTTAGCTGCTGCTAAGCTAGTCCAGCAGCCATGACAAACCATTCATCTGGAGGAATACTTTCATTTTCTAAGCAGCAAATTCTTCCTCGAATGAGATCCGACCACAGACACAAGCGCCGAGGTCAAAGTTCACCAAACAGAGAAGTGGTGAGCTGGTGTAAACAGGGCGCCGCCTAGCGTTTGATTGTCTGAAGTAAGCTAGATAGATAGATAGATAGATATCAAAATATATATCAAATATAAATATCAAATATAAAATAAATATAAACATATATAAAGTTCACTCAGTGTTTGTGAACATGAGCCAGAAACCAGAGACGTAAGTTCCAAACTTTTGATGTCATCAGGTATACAGTCTGTAGCCTGATTTTGTGGACCCAGAGACAGCTTGTTTTCTTTTTTATTCCCAAATAAGATTTATTCTTTATTTCATTATTGCAGTGTTGTCAGTTATGAAACTGAAAATGTACTCATATACTCAGAACATTCCCCTGGGTGCTCTCAGTGTCATCTATGACGTCTCTCCCAATCCGTTGTCTGTGTAGCAGCTCCAGACTTTATACCCTTTGCCACCACACATTTTCAGTTCTCATCACAACGTTTTAGTACTCTAGGTTTTTGATTTAGTAGACATTTGGTCATGTTAATTAATATTTTTGGACTGTCTTAAGACCACAGGAAAAACATGTACAAATTTTGAAAATGGGCATAGTTCCTCCTTAATACAGGGAAGTCAAATTTAAAGAACAAGAAAAACAGACAGGTACACATTTTTACATTACACTGGTGAAATACACTGTAATATATTGTACCCATTTGTACATTTGTTTGTTTAGGTGATTATAGGAAGGTCTGATTATGATATTAGAGATACTATTACTATTATTACATCCTCCCCTCTCCCTTTAACTAGAGCTAATGCCATTTACAATTAAGTGCTGTGATGTCACTGTTAAATTATTTACTACTGAGTTTCAGTGTGGTAAGGGTTGCATTAACAAAAACAAGGTCAGAAATCACAAGTGGGTTGCAGCACTCTGAAAGATAGTCTCTGTGATTCCCCTTTAAAACGCACATGACCTCGTTTAGACTGGAAGTGAAATGACATGTTACTAATGCAGCCATCACTGCTCAAATCCTACAAGATTAATTTCACCTAATCCATAATAATCTCTTTATATTTTCACCACACAGTATTAGTGTCTTTAAAGAAATCATAACTGTGGAGTTGTTGTTTTATCAGCTGTTAAATTTGTGACATGCTAAATATTTACTAAAAGGATTTACTTGAATGTTTTGCACGGAAGGAATACGTTTCCTCTGCTGCTGTTTCACTATTCCTGATCTTAAATGCATACAGGCAAAACACAAACTCTCTGACACGCACACCACAGCCAGTGGCTCCAGCATTGTCTGGTTGCCTGGCAACTGTCGGCGTGGCGTGGTTGCTAGGGCCGTGTGGGAGGGGGGGAGGTGATGCTGCTCTGATTTCCAGCTGAATTGAGGCAGTCAGTAGGGAGAAGCCCCCCTCTTCCAGTCGACACACAGGACTCTATTGAACAATAGAGCTGTGCCAATGGGCCTGAGGCTAGTCAGACAAGCCCTTGTTCAGGGTCACACTGTGTTCATCCCACAGTCCTCCATGACTAATTAACTTACAGCAAAGAGTGTCGTTAGGACATCTGATGATGCATCCATCACTGGCACAGCCCTGGAATTTACATTAATGTGAGGTGCATTTCTGGCAGTCTGCCATGTTGGTGCATTCAGAAGACATGCAGGAGAAAAAGAGAAAGTGTGGTGGAGCCGCCACACGTAGTGCTGAGCACAGCTTGTGCAGTCAAAACAGCTCTGAACTGCTGGTCTTGGTGGGAAATATTTGCCAGCTGTAACATGGTTATGTGAAAACTGAGAAAGCAGCCACATGGAGAGGTAGCTATTCTAAAGAGTAGACTATTATTAGGAAGGAGTTCGATCTTGTGGCCTTCACAGCAGGTGGCAATGTTGATCAAAAATGTAGCCGGTGTAGGCTACTAATGTAAAGTGATGGCATTCTTGTGTAGTGGAGGAGAGTTTGGAGGGTAGAGAATGTGTCATTTGCAGTGATATAATGCTGAAGTCGAGCTGCTGCTCAGACTGGAATAAAACGATGCTCACAGTAATAACAAGAACAGGTTTTTATTAATATTTTGTAATACCATATATAATGCAATTGCATATCTTTGGCGAAAATAAATCTTATAAACATTTTATCAACAGAGGTTAGCATACAAAAACCAAAAGGTGTGTCGGTCCAATAGACATGGCAGACAACTGACACAAACTGATACTGGGTTGGCAGCTTTGTCAAATGCAACAAAATGTTCATCATACCCTTAGGAACTGCAACAGAATTTTGAGAATCACATAATCAATATTTAATAACAGCCGTTGAGCGATAAAGCAACTGGGGTTTGAGTTGGGTAAGCCCGACCCCAAAATGTTTAGGTAGCTCATCCACAGATCTGACTCAGTGTCACTTAGAGACCAACATAACGCTTCATTTGCAAGTGCTACAGAAAAAAGAGTGACATTTCCCTCAACGAGTCTCTCTATAATTTCTCTGCAGTTGTCGTTATACTTAAATGTAGGTCTGAGACTATGCAGCAGCAGCCTGGGGACTGAGTCTGATCCAGTTTTCACTGATATTCTAAACATCTCAACATCCCACAACAATACCTGGAAGCATGAGTTATGAATGGCAGTCGTTTCTTTTAAAAGATTCTAATCTGTGATGAGATCGAGAGCTAATCTTCAAATTGTGACTACTTAGTCATATTATCTAAACATAAACATGAGACAAATTTTTTTAAAAAATTATTCAATCATCCTCAAAGAATTTCTACAGTACGTGGGGAATGTTTCGATCTTAAATTTAATACCCCAGCTGAACAACAATTTTGGCAACAAAAGGTTTCAGGATCAATGTTAATAAAACTGTCTTCTATCCAGCCTAACAAAAAAGCAAAACAAAACATCAAGAAAACCTGGCAGTCATGGTTAAATTGGGAGAGAAAAAAAAAAAAACACCCGCTCTATAGACAGACATTGGCAAAATACTTAATCACTATAACATAGTGACAGAAAAAAAGGTGTATTGCTTTAAAATAAAACGAGGAGAAAAACAAAATACTTATTAAGAGGAGTTCACAGAGGGAGAAAAATAAATGTGCCCAGTCACTCATTTCAAATGACCAGTGTTTGATAGAGTATGCATTCATAATCCCATAAATTAATGTCATAAATAAGGTGATGATTAATGAACAATAATTTGTTCTTTTTTTCACAGCTAAACAAGACCAGTGTATGCAAGTATTACTTCTGAGAACTGAAGCGTACTCTGCTAGGAGCAGTTCCCACTCTAAAGCGACAAAAATAAACCAAAGATTGGTTAAGTCACTGCACTGACCGGAGTCCTCTCCCATTTCCTGTACGAATGAGTCAGTAAACTTGGGCATCGTTACTCTTAAATCACAACTACACTGTGGCAGCAGGGAAATACAGTGACCATGGCCGTTTGCAGTTTTACATCAGTGGCACAAGAAAATGTTTGGCACTGATCATGCATGCTATACTAACAGTGTGATCTGTGGGAAGAAATCATTTTGTTACTACTGTGAGCTTCCATGCTACCTTGTATTGTACGCTGCGAGCATGCAGCCTTTTTAAAAGCTCAAATGAGAATTGTGGCCTTTTACACAAGTGGCTCACAACTTCCCCTCGGTGAACTGCATGCAATCAACTGACAATAAACACTCCATTTCACAGCTTGAGAAGAGAGCGTGCACTTCCTTATTTTGTTCTAGGGGAGGAAGAGCGAGGACGAAACACTAGTGGCCAGCCAGAACTGAGGGCACAACATGAGAGCAGCACAGGTCTTCCAACATCTCGCCTGCGAGCGACTGCACATACAAAGTCCAGTTCTCTCTGGCCATGACTACACCGTCCCCTTCTTGTTCTTCACACGTGAATATGCACTACGATCCGTGCCTTTTATCCATTTGAACCAGAACAGAAACACCCTCCCTCAAGTTGTGAATTAACTTTGCCACAGGATCAGCCATCAGAGAATTAGCTGTATAATTTTGCAATTTTCTAAAGTACACTGTTAAAAATAAAAAAAACAAGGAGAACACACGGAGGTATAATCAAACTGCAAACCCAAACAATGGAGCAAGAAGCTATGGCAATTTACTGTCCGCTCCTGTTTCTGACTATCAACCAGCTCTGCATTCAAAAGGACCAGAAGCAAGCAGAGTACCAAGCAGCCCTACAATACAGCTGTAGCAGGCAGATCTTTCATTATACCAGTCACATTCATTGGAGCAGTACGACTACTTTGTCAGCAGAGGGAACGAGTCTGACCGTTTCAAACTCTTTTCTGTCCCGACCACCATCTCAGGTTGAAGATGAAGTCGACATGCACTATGAAACACGCACACACACGCACACGCGCGCGCGCGCACACACACACACACACACACACACACAAATAAAATTAATCTATGGAGGATAACCTATAACACGCAGTGAACATCTGGCAACATGTGGCAGATGTTCACTTTGCATAGGCTGTCACCAAACGTGAATATATGTCTGCACAATAAATGTCAAAAAAACACACTGATGAATGAAAGGGATTGACAGGATGAGCAGTTGATTTGCAAAGGAAAAAACAAAACAGCTTTCATTTGTATAGCACTGTAATGGCCGCACAAAATTGAGCGAAGTAGTATAGCTAACTTTGCAACTAAATTTGGCAGTGGCAGAGTAATACTATTTCCACATCTTGCTAATCCTGAAATAGAGCCAGAGCTCGTGTGTAATAAGTTTATCGCATAACAAGATCATAGTACTACTCCATTCATTCTCTTAATTGTAAAGTTTAACTAGCGTACTCAACTCTGACAAATGCCACCATGAAATAAAGTCAAAAAAAGTTAAGGGTTGTGGATTAATTATTGCATCTCTCTTTCAAGAGGATTTGTGGAGCGAGAATTCCTTTCAAAACAGTGGCATTTTTTTTTCTTTAGCACAAAAAGGAGAAACTGATAACACCAGGAGGTTAGGTTTTGTCTGTTACAAACATGCACTCATTCGCTTCATAAATAGATTCACTTGGAAGAGGATACAGGTTTGAGGAGGAAGCATGCAACGCTTGAGTTATAAAACCTTCAGCTTTTCCCGTTTTGTCTTTCAGAGAGAATTCTTGAATCGCAATCTTCTAATCCAACAGAAGCAGGCAGGTCGTTTTGGATAGGTTTCTCGATGGTTCTCCATAGCCCAAACACCCACCCCCAGCAGTCACCCCCGAGATACAAAAGTCTCTATATGGCTTTGTTCTCCTGTGTGAACGATACTATTGCCATTTGTTTTGTTGGACAGGGATATTCCCAAACAAAAAAAGGCTCAAAATGGCCAATGAACGATCAGATAAGGAGAAGGAGGCACACTGGGACACACGATCAGGGGTCAGAGGTTAGGGTTCACAGGGTCCGGAGTCTGATGGGGGGGCAAAAATAATCTTCATTTCCTGTTAAGTTTTGTGCTCTTGACAGTGCGTTTGGAGCCCTCCGTGCAGCTGCGTATACCAGCGAGGTGCAGCAAGGAGCCAGCGGCTTCCTTCAGCTCCTCATCCAGCTCTGGCTTGATCTCGCGCCGTGCCCTCTTTCCGGCGGGCCACTTGATGGCGGGCGGACGTCGAGAAGTCTGGTGGACGCCCCTCTCATCCCAAAGGTCGGAGTCCTCGTCGCTGTGGAAGCCCTCGCTGCCGGCGCGGTGGGACTGCCTGCGGTCGCAGCCTCCTTCGTCCAAGGAGGAGAGAGACGAGGAAGAGGAACGGGAGGAGCAGCGCTGCAGGGCTACGCTGCTGTAGTTGTGGTCCTGCTTTGGATCGCTGCTCACCAGGACAGAGTCGGGTCGGGAGAGGTCCAGTGGGCTGTCAGAATTGCCTGAGGAGAGCAGTACATGGAAAGAGTGAGCATACATTCAAACGAGAAAGGTTGTTTAACATGCTTGTTAGACCATGACAGATGTTCTAAATACTGCTCATCATGTAAAAGTCATGTTACATGAGTCTCTCTATAGTTGGCTTAAAATAGGCTGTGACTGATACTAAATAAAGGTTTTTTTTCTGAGAAGGAAAAAGCCAGACACGATGAACCATATACTGTTACTTTAGATAACTTGTTTTACAAGTATAAAGCAGAACTGAGACCAAGAGGGAAAATCTGACTTAAAAATATCTTATTTCACGCATGTTGAAGCAGACCGTTGATGGGGAAAGTACAAATATTAGCAAAAGCTAATCACAATAAAATTATCCTTAGAGGGCTTTTGCAGTCACTTAATCAAAATAATTAAGTACAGGCTAAATTAATTATGATCTTGTGTAAAGAAACAGATAGTAAATTAGATTTTTTTTTTTTTTTAATCAGAACACATTGTAAAAACAGACAAAATACATTTTTTACCACATAGGAAGATCCTGCACTACAACACTTTCAGAAGACTTTAGTTGGCTTAATATTCTCCAAATGCTTTTTAGAATCGCTCATACGTTAAAGGTATAGTTCAACACTTTGGGAAATACAATCATTTGCTTTCTGTAAATAAGTTAATGTCAGAGACGCTGATAGGTGGATTTTGTCTCCTTTGAACACAGCCAGGCTAGCTGCTCCTCCTTATTTCCAGTTTTTATGCTAAGCTAAGCTAACGGCTGCTGGCTAGTGTTTCCTAGAAATCAAAATATTCCTTTAATATGTATTTAAAAGACACGACTGAAGGAAAACTTGTATGCAATCAGGTACAAAATATCATTCTTGAAACCTTTCCTGTGCAAGAACCAACATTTTGCTTATAAGAACAGGTGATGTACACGCTACAAATTAAAGCACACAACACAAAAAAAATGTAAGCAATGACAGGGTGGTATGTCGGGGGGGGGGACAAAGAGTTGGAAGAATAGGTGAAAGTATGGCTGCTTGTGGATCCTCTTACATGGGTCAACGTGGTGCCCGGGGGCAGAGTTTAAGAGCATCATGGCAGTGGCAGCATCAATGTCAGACTCTGGAAGAGGAGAGAACATGCATGATGGTCAGTCCTAAGGTGTGAAAGCATGGTAGCATGGCAACTCTTCTAGGACTGGGAGGACTGGGTTCCTTCGGTCATTTTAAACTGGAGACATAGTGACCCAATCGATGTTTACTGAATGGATTGGATATGCAGAGGGTTCACTGAAACAAACCAGAGGATGAATTGAAGCCACTGATATTGCATCCGATCTTTTCAGACCTGACAAAGTGTCTAAAAGCCTCATAGCTCACTTCTGGGGGCTCTAAATTATTAATGATTACAGTGAGACTGAGTGCTCGACACTCAGCACCAGCAGAACCTCTGCCTGTCGTCAAGGTTACAAATCCAAGAGGCAGAGGGGGGAAAAGAGAAGGCTGAGACATCGACTGGGAGCTCTCGACATTATGGTCTACATGAGGCATCAATGACTCGAAAGCAACAAATCAAACCAAGAGTTGAGGATACAAGCACAGTGATGCTGAATGTTTTGGGACTGAAATGTGCACAGGCAACATAATCAAAATACTGCACAAACACAAGCTAAAAACAAACTGCACCGATTGGAATTCGTATACACCTGCAGATTCTTGCTGCACAGGCTGCTTTTATTGCAAACATCCAAACTAAAAAAAAAAAAAAAAAAAAAAAAAGAAAACGGAGATATGTTTGCATCTATCTCACCTTTGAATGAGCAGCCTTGTAGAAAGAGATGGCGAGGGGGTGAGGAGGCACTGCAGGAGGTAAACAAAAGACGTGAGGGGTCAGATTTTGAGTTTGCAAAGGGGATGTAAAAAGAAAGTCAGACGCGACCCTTCAAAAATTTCAGTTATTTACAGGATCAAACGTCAAATAAATAGAGTTACCTCCAAAATAAAAGAGAAAACTGTTGCAAAGTCCAATAAATAAATCAAATATGGTAATGCTAATGTGACAGAGACAGAGCTGCAAAATCACAGCCAATACAAACTCATGAATTCACAACATCCAGAGTGACTGATGAAAGCTTACCTGGGTGGGGAGGCGGGTGGTGTGCAGAAGGCATGTGCGGCAGGGAAGTGCTGCTTCTTAAGGGCTTGGATCAGGTTGGGGCGGTACTCGGGATCAACACACCAGAGCGAACCTTTTCCATTGGCCTGTGGGAAAGAGCGGAGACAGTCAAATTTCTACACCCAGATCATAAAGTATGAAACTTGTCAGAAGTTTGTGGCAATGAGAGGAATATTGATGTACAGGAAATCTAGATGTCCTGTTTCTTGAACAATCTATTCTGATTGGTCCTCTTACTATATTTAAACAAAAGGTATCCTCTGGAGCTTTTTTGTGAACAAGCAAAACTGATGTTTAAATTCAGTGTTTCTCACCAGAACTTATTGTGTGTATCCTTGAAGGCTAAAAAACATGGTCAAATTTCTTTCCTCATGTTTTTGCGAAGCAGAATTTTTTAATGTTTATAAATCATGCATTGATTTTATTTACATTTGCTAGCTTGCTATCTTTTTTACTGCCCTTTAGAGCATACATTTCTTTGTACATTAAGGTCAGCAAACTACGTGAATGAAATGAATATTGAAAAATCTGTGTTTTACCGATTTTTAATCCATCAAAAATGATACATAATTATTCACCAATAGGGTGACATTGACAAAATTCCAGAAAAATCTCAGCTAACAAAATCTGTGAGCACTGCATACAGTAGACTGCACTGGAAGCAGTATAGTGATGTGTCAGATTTCATTACAGTGAGCCTCATTTTGCACAAATGGCAAAAATGTTGAAACAATTGTTCTCAGAGGAGCACTACATCATAAACAAAGCAGTGGAAAATAGCAAACGCAAAACTAAGAATTCCTCAACAAAAGGAGGAAATAGCTGCTCCACGGCACTGTGCGAGGAATGAATTTGTCTGTTGGTGATGTGTGCGGGAGTGTGTTAACTGTCACTTTATCTGATGGCGGCGTATTGCCCAGTCTGGGAGGAGAATAGAGTGAGGGAGGCAGTGAGGGAGGGAGGAGAATAACCTTGACTCAGATTACCAGCCAGCCCTGATGCAGGAAGAAGGAAATGTCTCCATGGCAACGGAAACCACCAGCCAGTGTCATGTGAAACTGGTGCTGGTCTCTCAGCAGACGAAGGGCTCACGCTGTGCACCTGCATGCTGAGCGGCCTGCAACGCACCATGTTGCTGCTCGTAGAGTGCTTACCGACATCCCCTCCCATGATGGGAAAATATGAGGTCTTAGCCAGGCACAGCCTTGGCACCACGGGCTCTACCGGTCACAAGTCTGAACTCATACTGAAGCTCAATATGGCTGCCATCGTGTCGCTCCCTGGATTTGTACAGTAACATGTAAATAAGGTTGCGTCTGACACTGGTCTGACTGTGGTCTATCTCTAAAACTTGAGCAACAAATGCAAATTATGTCGAAGGGGAACTAAAAAGCTTACAAAGTATTATTATCAGGATTTGGCAACATTTGAATGAAAATCTGATGACAGCTTTGGGGTTGTTTACTTATGTTACCAAGCCACTGTCAATCAAATCAGCTCAAACCACACTCCCACAGTCTTGATGACGCAGTGTAACTGACTTTAAGAATGTTAAACTGCTCATAAAAAAACACCCAAGATGTTTTTTTTAGCAGCTTTAAACTGAGGTATTACTTCTAAATACAAAGCTCACTTATTTAGTTGACAAGACTGTTTGTGCAGGATATGCAGGATGTGTTTTTTATCACAAGCATGTGCACATGAGAAGGTCAACTTCTCTCTTTTTATGCAGGAACACAAACACAAATGAGCACGAGTCACACGTACTCTGCCAGGACCAGGCCGACAAAGATTCTTCCTACAAACCCGTCTCTGCACTTCAGGTCACGTTTGCTTCCTTCCCGCAGTGTGACATTGAGGTTTCCAACACTGGGATGCTTCTCTCCCTGGTTGAAACAGTTGCACTACCTTGCAGTGCTTCAGGAGATAAAGTCCTATCTTAGTGTGCTGTGTTTGCATTTCCTCAGACGGAGTATCTGTGACCTTGACTGGATTCCACCCTTATCGCAGCAGAGTCAGAGGTCCCTGCGGCTGTGTTACGGTCCTGGACACTGTCACATGAGCCACATTGCAGCTTCACACTGCAATGCATTGTTCCAGCCGTGGTTTGTTAAACAAAGCAGACGCATTTTGACCTACGGAAACTGTATCACATTAAACTATGCAATGACAGTTCTGAGAGGTATAATCTCAGGCACAGTTTCTAAGTTTAAATCTGTGTGAAGTGTGTGAAAGTCAGGAGACAGTTTAAAAACATACCTTTCCCAAACTCCTCTCGACCTTGCGGAAGCATTTGTTCAGGGACAAGTTGTGACGAACTGAGTTCTTCCAGCCAGTGGGAGCATTGGAAAAATAAGGGAAGTGCTCGAGAATCCAGCCGTAGATTTCTTTCACAGGCAAAGATTTGCTGGGGGACTGCTCAATGGCCATGTAGATGAGGAGAGAAAACGAGAAAGGGGGCTTAGACTTCAATGAGTCCCGCTCCCTGCCTCTGCCGTGTGACGAAGATGAGGAGGAGGATGACGGGCCCTGGTTGGACCCGAGGTCTCCCTCTATGTCGAAGAAAGGACTGCCACTGGGCTGAGCTTCCGGACCTCCCAGAGTGAAGTTCTGAAGCAGGTTCTCGTGCAGCCAGTTGAGGTTGGTGAGCTCCTCATCCTCGGTACCTCCAGTACGATCCACACTGGTCGCCAGCGGACTGGATGCACACTCTGCCTCAGGCAGTGTTCCCACACCACAAACACCTCTGAGCCCTGTCCGCTCCTCTTGCATACCCGGAATTTCCGTTTTCTTATCTGGTGACATCCCAATGATTGGACCCATTAAATCAAAGAGGTCTGCAGAGAGAGGAGAAAATAGGTTATTAATGATTAACAGCTCAAAACATGTACACAAAAATCACAGTTCTTGAACGGATTTCAAAAGTTGGCAGTATGAAATAACTGGATGCGACATGATGGAATGATGTGCTCTTCCAAGCGTTGACCTTGTTTTCCTAAGTCTTCCCTAGGGGCACACCCCCCTGTGGCTGTGTCTGTCTACCTCTATTTCACTTCCTGCCCCTCTCTCTGACACTCTCCTCCATGCCTGGTGAGAACGGAGAGGCTCTCAGCTCTCCCCCACTTGACTCCAGCCGAGGACCTTCGAGGAGGTCCTCTCAAGCAACTGAACCGACTCAAGGCTCCACTCCTCGACGCCCACCTCGTTTCAGATGAGACCCAGCTGCTCGTTATGTGTAAATGAGCATGAAACCGTCCAAGGACTGCAGGAATGAGTGGAAGGCCTCCATCTTGCAGAGTGGATGGCTCTTACAGGCTGATCTACATTCAGTCAGGATCAAGTCTCAATTTGTCACATGCCAGATTAAGTAGTGTAAAGAGGCTACAGGCCCGGGAGTTGTCAGTCATTTAACAACACTAGGAAATTCAATATTGCCAGGAGCCCTGTATCATTAACCAATTTCACCCAAGGACACTTATTAATATGACAATCATAGTTTTTTACAAGGGCTCAGAGGAAGAATTGCTGGCGTGTCATCTTGTGCAACAGTTATGATCCTGCCAAAGTTTTTAGTGGAAACCAATATTGAGCTATTATTTTAATTACAGGCACAGAAAAAGATATGTCCAAGTTTAACCCACTGAAATAAGTGAATAAGTACTTATTTTAAAATAAAATGTTGCCCAATAATTCTGAATAACTTTGTAAATTAGATGTGGGGGTAGAAATTGATTCCTAGATGCATCTTTCTTGAAAGATATATCCATGAAGAAAAGTAAATCGGAAATTTAGCCTAAATGTCAACATCATGCTCACATGTAAAACTTTTTAAGGCTGGACTGAACCTCCTTTACAGGTGAACCAACTGACCTTTCGCTAAGTCCCGCCCTTCGAATGCAGACTGGCCAATCATAGTGTAGCACTGGCCAACACCACCCGGCCTGTTCTTTATAGACTTTCTTGTGGTTGTTTCAGATTTTCTTCAATTTCAGGGTGATTTTGTGCATTCCGAACTCAACATTGTGGCTGGAGCCTGCGTACTACTGATACTCATTACCTGGGATGGTTGGGAGGAGATATAGCCTATGTTTGTTCCCTGTTTCAAAATCATAATCAAACCCTGAAAAGAGTAGGGTTAGCTAGCTAGTTACTTTATGGGAACTAATGAAGGAAAACAAGGAAACTTTGCCGTTATTTAACCAGCTGTGTGTCATGAGTGCACGCAGAAGAACAGTGTTTGGCTTCCTTCTGGGGATGTTTTGGTCCCAAGATCTTGCTGCAGAGTGAGCACTCTTATCTTTGCTGATACTCTTTGGTACAACCAGCGCATTAAAAGATGAAGTGACACAAACGGGAGAGACTTTGCACCATAAGGCTCCGAAATAACGCTATCTTCTCTCTTCTGCTTAATACAAAACAGTCTCTGGCCTTTGTTTGATGTCTAGTGTCTAAAGAAATGTTGTTGCACATTTCCGATCCATCTTAAGTGCATTTTGTTTCTTATTTCATCACATGAATGCTGCTGTCACACTGAGTGTCCCACTGAGCCCAGTTCAAACTTTAAAACTTTACATTCTGAGTCAGGTGTGGCCCTCCTTTAGCTTCTAACTATCTTTTTAACCAGTTATTGCTGCTGCATGAGGTTGACATGGATATGTCCTTTACAAATGCACTATAAACCTTTCCATCTGCTTCTCTCTCCGAAATCGCATTTTTGTTTTTTAAAAGAATGTGATAATATTTCTTCAGTCACAGTATGGGCTCCATGCTAGCTCCAATAGCTTAACAGACCATCTTAAAGGGGCGGGGCTTAGCAAAGCGTCAATTAGATTGTTAAATGTAACGGACGTAAAACATGTTTTTAAAGTAGCAAGTAATCATAGACTAAGAACAAATAAATATTGTAAAGAAATTAAAAAATTGTGATGCATAAAGATGAATCAATAATCCCTCTGAATCGAAATAAAATTGTGAGATGCCTAGAGATTTCCACCCCTATGTAAACTATAAAATAAAAGCTATTTGGTGGGGCCACAAACACAAAGCGATCACTCTCTGGCTCAGCTCACAACAAGCTTTATGTCCTGGGTGTCACCATGACAACCATGCCTTCCCTTCAATTAAGAGCAGAAATCCCACAAACAAGATATATAGATACAATAAGAAAATAATAATCCATGCTGGCTGCCACAGACGACCACCGTGCAGCCGCCTTGTAACGAAACACTCCTGTTGCATCCGCTGGGTGAACACCAGATGCCCCAGTCAGGAGTGGTCTGGGACGTTCTGGTTGCAGACTAAGATGGAAGTAGAGTTGGAAGGTTGGTGGGGTAACGGCGTGCAGAGAGCTGTGGTGGATAGGCATATCTTTTCATTTCTGTGATAAGATAAGAATTGGGTCAAACTCGAGAGTGTTTGCACGGTGAGTGAGACAGGAGAGAGTGTACATGCACACACAAATCAGTTTGTCAAAGCCAATCAGTGAGGACATGAGGGGGAAGGAGGAGGCATTAGAGCATTTACAAAATGACCACTCAACTCTCAACGAGGGGATAAACATATAGCGGAATCATCCTGTTTTGGTTTGGAGTGACTTCTAAATGTAGGGTTGTGATTTATTCAGGCTTTAAAGCGTACTTGTTTGAGTTTCTGTCATAATAGTACATCCTGTCTCCTCATAGGTGACGTCATGTCAGCTACTTATCAGCCCTTCAGTCCTCCATTGTCTATGTTTTAAATATGTCAGCACCATTGAAGTTTTCTTTGCAGTCGCAAACACTTGTGTGATTCTGATCACCACCAAAGGGGAAGTAAGTGAAAGAGCTTTCCAGGCCAAAGGCAAAGGGACAGGCAGAGTGAACATAGGAAGAGACATAACAATAATAGGGAAATCCTTTTATGGGAGGACAGAGAAAGACAGAAAGCGAGACCAAGAGACTGAGAGGAAGACAGAGAGAGTGGGCCAGCTGAGACTCAGTGGTAGTGAGGTATGCTATGGAAGTTATCCTCAGTCTAGGATGAATCACAGCTCTCAGCAAAGTAGAGCAATCAGATATGTCAGGCAGCGAGAGAACTGCCCATTTGTGTTAAAAGAAAATCTCTGCTCAAGAGACCAAAACACAGAAAGATATCTCTTCACATGACAGGTTCCTACTCTGAATGAATTTACAAATAGAAAGGGGGGACTGTGCAGACAGACAAGCCTGCAGTTTTAGAGGAAAATATCCTTTATCCTTCTAAAAATAAATTCAGAATTAGGCTAGCTGTGAACACGGGCAAAATATCTAATGCTTTTGAAAATGTTTAGGCACATTTAAGGGCAGATTGTTTACAAAGCGTTTATGTATTTGTGTTGTGGTGCCAGAGAGAAAGAAAGGATGAGTGAGGATGCCATCTGACAAAGATCCCAGGCTGTTCCATGAAGCCCTGCCTTAGGCTGTTTTTTGGAAGTTTAAGTCAAGTCCACTTCCATGAGTGTGTTACCCAATACATGATGATGACAAACAGTAAAAACAGGCCATCACAGGTGCGGCAAGAAACGGCCTTAACTGCATAGGTCTTTCATTTGACTAAAAGGTGTAGTCGAAGTGTTTTCTGGAGCCAGAGTCAACCATTAACACTCCATGTGGTTGCCCTTTCCTTTTCATTACAGAAAACAACACATTTTGGCTCCATAGGCATTTCTTTTATTTCAATAATGATGTTTCAGCCTTCGGGCCTTCTTCAAGATCAACAATGCCCTTTCTTCTTCAACAGGCCATGAGTGATTGCCCGTGAACTTGATTCAGTTCGGTGGGAGGGAGATGAGAAGAAGTTGTGGCCTGGGTAAAGTGTCAGACCCCTGATTAACCTTAAAACACGAGAGAGCTTCACCTCAGTCTATCTTCACAGCCATGACTTCTCAGCTGGGCCCTCGGGTGCCAGAGAGCGCTCGTCTTCTTTTGAGTATCTCCTCCAGAAGGCCGTCATTTGAATATCAACAGAGGCAGGGTGGACAAATGAGAGAGCTGCCTTGCACCCAGCCAAACACAGGAAGTGTTTTACCAGGACTGCAGCTGGTCAATTACCACTGCTGTTGCAATGATCGCAGTTATCATTGCTCTTATGAAAAGGCATCAAAGAGAGGCGGCTGAGAATGCAATGAATAATGGGACACTAGTGTGGAGAGGGGAGAGGGAGCTAATAAGCCAGGCTGGCCTGTTGACTGCAGCATCCTTGAAAATACACCAAAGCTGCAATGGTGCTGACCTGGTGGCTCATCTGCAAGTTAAAATAGCCGCGCGCACCGCCAGCCTCATCATATTCATGTGCAAACAGGCAGGCACTAACAGCAGGTGCCAAGGCACATTTTTCCCCCCCTTTCAAACTGCTCTTTTATCCTGTTAAGCACTTAGCCTATTCAAAAATACACAAAGACATATGGAGATTGCTTTAAGTGGCAAATCAAGCCGTTGACGTGTCAAATATGTACGGGGGAATGTAAAGGAGATGATGGCGGCATCGAGATGAAGAGGTACTGGTTTGAGATGTTTTCTGGGAGCGAATCTCACGATCAGGACTCAGTTGCCACGGCAGCCAATGTTGTAAGGGAAGCAATTGTGCTCATGTCTGTGCATGAAGAGAGAGCTAATGTGGGGAGATCAATACAGGCGGAAAATGCTGAGGCCAGCAGTCTGCTGCTGTTCTCCACAAACCTGTCTGACAAAGAGCAGTGGGAAAGGCCACAGCCAACCTGGATGTCATGGCACTACTGACTAAGTGCTACGAGGGCGTACTTTATAATACCCGTAACATGCACCAAAAGCTACTTTGTTTAGTAAAAAAAAAAAGACAAACA